AACGGTCGACCGCTCCACTCAGTGTAGCCTGTTTCTCAGGAGCAATGAAGTATTTGCGCGTTTAATCAGTCAGAGCTAAATACTAAACTCATTCTCACGATTTTTTCCTCTGTAAATCTCAGGAGTACAGCCATTAAAGCTGAACACATGGTTCAGTGTATTTAAATATTCTTGGTGGGGTTAACAATAACACTAATAAAATATTCTTATGACACGTTTGCAAAACTCAGTCACTGATACATTTTTAGATGGATGGATAGATGGATTTTTTTTTTTTTATTATTATTATTTTTTTTTAACACTGTTCTGTCTGGAGCAGGTCTCTTGTAAACGAGTCCTTGTGGCTCAATGTATAAATTCAACCTTTATTTAGACCAGTAATCCAATTGAGCCTCGAGGACTCATTTACAAGAGAGACCTGATTTCAACAAAAAAAGATGACAACAATGGGCAACAACAATAAACAATTATAAAAAGTCATAAGGTTTAAAAGGTAACAAAAAAAAACAAAAAAACAGCTAGATTCTAAGGCGAATGTAGAAAACCAAAAACAGGAACATATCTGCATTGGTCCCTGCCAGGAGTCCAACAGATTCTTAAAGACACTTAGAGAGGTCAAGGTCGAGAGCTTCAAATGTTTTTGTAAGATGTTCCAGGAAACAGGAGCGGAGTAGGAGAAGGCCCTTTTGTCTAGTTTAGTCCTCACTGAGGGAACACTGCAGGTAATAATGTCCTGAGAGCGCACGCTGTAGCTGCACTCACGCAGAGACATGTAGGAGGAGATGTATGAAGGCAGCAGACCAAGAAGTGATTTAAAGATGAAAATGTACCAGTGAGAAAGTCTGTGTGAAGTTAATGATGTCCAGTATACCGTGCAACGCCTCATGCAACTACCTCCACCTCTCCGTATGAACTTCTCTTTGGCAGGAAGATGCGCGCTAAACTGAACATACTCCCTTTGCCTCCTGTCACATCTCCACTGCATGACAAGGTACAACGTGAAGTTCTGAAAAATCTAAACAAAATGAAACGCTACACTGATGCCAAACGCAGTGCAAGGGTGCCTTCATTCCGGTTAGGAGAGAGGGTGAGGATATGGAAATCATTACACGTTCCAAAAGGTCACCCTAGGTTTACCTCTCCTGCAACTATCAATAAGGTTTAAAGGTAAACACACCTTCATGCTGAGTGATGGAAGGAATTGGAATGCATCCCACCTGGCACGCTGTGCTCCAGTTGCTGGACAGGACTCTACTACTACAGGACTGGAAAAGGCCCAGCCTGATCCACTTCCTATTAGGAAGCCTCCACGTGCAAAATATAAACCCAGTTGGCACAGAGACTTTGTCATGTCATAAACGCCATGCAGAAATGTAACTGTTACCTAAGGTTATAGAAGGGTTGACAAAAGGTCATTACAGCTACTGGTTTACTAAAGTCTTCTTTAAGTATTAACATGGGTAATTTGTTTTATTACAGGAATAATTTTGAGGGAAAATTTAGTTAAATTGACAGGTTTACTTAATCGTTATTAGTACCTTTGGTTTACAATTCTGTTGCTAGAAATATGCAGATAATTTTCAAATGCATTTTCTAATGGTTTGCCTCTTTTAAAAAATTCTGTTCAAGTATTCTTTGGAGGAAGTTTAAACCTTAAGAAGGGAGGAGATGTTGTGTTGTGTAATGCTTTGTCATTCATGCCACTAGGTGAAGCTGCAGGATAAGAAATGAAGATGAGAAGGGTAGAAAGAGTGAGGATGATGATAATGATGAAGAAGCCTGATGAAAACGTGCTTTTGGTGTATTGTAGTTCGTGTCTGATGTGCTACGTTAAATAAATGCACTGAATTCAACAAGAACTTGTTTTAATTTGTCACATCACTACAGTTTAAGAGGGGGGTGAAGGAAACAATTTATGTTAAAAGAGAAAAGCCGTCTTTTAACACAGGAGGAGGCCTCAGATTTCCACTTTCAAAAACCTATAATCCAACTTGAAGACTGATTCCCAGCCAGTTTTCACACTTGATGGGAACAGAGGGGCCTCATCTGTGAATTAGAGGAACAAAGACCTTAAGAAACCCATACTGTTAAAGGTGTTGAGGTGTGAATTGTCAAATCAACATATGTGTGTGTCATCTCACTCAGCCTTATAACCTGAACCCCACATTCACTGCTCTTTTGAGAAAGCTCCTCGGATGAGGAGCGAAACGTCTTCTGTTACAAATAAAGTCCAGTTGTTCTTGTATTGATTTTTTTTTTTTTTTTTTATCCAACAGACTTCTGTGCAGCCTTCACCACTCTCTGCAAAGCTTTTCATTCTGCTGCTGTGCAGCCTCCATGCCCCACGTTGATGCTGGAGCACAGGATGCTCTCCACTGCACAACTGTAGAAGGAGATGAGGACTGAGCTTCTCAGAAAAACGGAAAAAGTCCACCACAGAGGAGATGGCATCCTCTGTTGATTGGTTCTCGCAGTATGCATACTGATGAGGGCTACTGGTTGATAAGTCATTCAGACCAGTTGTTGTTGTAGAGCTCTTTTGGGACTGAGATGATGGTGGCAGTCTTCAGGCAGATGGGAACTGTCTCCAGGGTAAGTGAGGTGTTAAAGATGTCTGCCAGCACCTCGCAGAGCTGATCGGCAAATTCTTTCAACAATTTTCCGAGGATGTTGTCTGGGCTGGTTACCTTGTGCGGATTAATCCTCCTGAAGGTACTCCTTACTTCAGGGCCACATTAGCAACCCTGAAGCTCACATGGTCCCCCTCTATAACCCAACACCAATTTTTATACACACACACACACACACACACACACACACACTTTATATATATATATTGCAATAAAAGACTGTGAATATTACAATGAAGAACAGTTTAATGACATCAATATAGCAGGTGGAGGTCTCGCTATTATTCACTTTAATAGTAGAAGTTTAAATGCAAATATATCCAAAATAACAGATTATTTGAAACAGCTAAACAGAACTTTTACAATAATAGCACTTTCAGAGACATGGCTCAATGATGAAAACACAAATAATGTTCACATGGAAGGGTATGAATTATATCATGTGAACAGAAGCAACAAAAGAGGTGGTGGAGTGGCTCTATTTGTTAAAAATGAAATAAAATGTAAATTAATTAATGAAATGTCAATAATTGTTGATAATATCATGGAAATAATAGCAATATAAATAATAAACAAGAATGATAAAAACATATTGATAAGTTGTGTATATCGATCTCCAGGATCAAATATAGAAATATTCACTGATAAAATCGTACAACTATTGAACAAGAGTTTTAATAAAAGCATTTTTTTGTGTGGAGACTTTAATATTGACCTGGGAAATAAAACAGATTCAAATAACATCAGTACATTTACAAATTCATTGTATAGTTTAAATCTTTATCCGTTAATATCAAAACCAACAAGAATTACAACTCATAGTGCTACAATAATCGATAATATTTTCACAAATGTAACAAATGGGGATGTGATGGGAGGTATTTTAATGAGTGATTTGAGTGATCATTTACTAGTTTTCATGATTTATAAAAATTATCAAAGCATTACAAAAGAAATTACAATTAAGAAAAAAACAATAAACACATCAAAAAAAGCAATGGACAAATTAAAAGATGATTTACATAAACAAAGCTGGAAAGACGTGTATGTTGATGATGTGAACAGATCATATGATGAGTTTATGAATATTTTAGGAGCTCTGTATGAAAAGAATTGTGTGCAAAATAATCATACAAAGAGAAATGTTGTTGACCAACCATGGATGACGAAAGGGTTGAGAAATGCTTGTAAAAAAAAAAATTATTTGTATACATGTTTCTTGAAATTGAGAACACAAGAGGCTGAAGAGAAATATAAGAAGTATAAAAATAAATTAGTAGCGATTATAAGGAAACACAAGAAGGAATATTATAGTGATTTATTAAATAAAAGTAATGGTGATATGAAAGCTACATGGCGAGTAATAAATCGTGTTCTGAAAAGTCGTAAAGCAAAAACAGTATTTCACAATATTTTTTGAAGGATGACGATGAAATCCATGATGAAAATGAAATTGTAAATGGATTTAATCATCATTTTGTGAACGTTGGATCAAGCCTTGCAGCTAAAATACCAAAAGTAGACAATAATGTGAACCATTCAGTTATAAGTTGTGACAACAGTATTTTTCTTAATGGAACTGCCAAAGAAGAAATAATGAATGTTGTAAAAAATCTTACAGATAAGAGATCAAAAGACTGGGTGGACATGGATATGATGTTTGTAAAGGAACATAATGAGTTATGTTATTGAGCCGTTTACATATATTTACAGAAAAGAGCTGTAAGAATCATCACCAGAAAGCATTACAGACACCCATCAAGCACATTATTTTATCAACTGAAGTTATTAAAGTTCCATGATTTGGTAGATTATAGTATTTTATCAGTTATGTATAGGGCTCAAAATAACACATTACCATTAAATATCCAAAGAAATTTTGTTAAAAGACAAAGTTGTTATAATCTTAAGGGGATAGAGATATTTGTCAAACCAAAATTCAGAACTAGTCTGAAGGGAAGGTCTACCTCAATCCAAGGAGTTGGATTGTGGAATG